TGTGTGTGTGTGTGTGTGTGTGTGTGTGTGTGTGTGTGTGTGTGTGTGTTCCACCGCACAGCTCTTATCAAGCTTTTTGGTAATGTTTGTAACCAGCGGCACATCTGTGAATTTCACCAAAACAAAAGCCTCACCCCTGCTCATACACACCTCGTTTCTCTCTACGAGTGAAGAGAACACAAAAAGTTAATTTGATTTTCGTATATAAAATAATAATTCATCACACGATTTATATAAATATGATTTTACAGCACCACATATTGAACCACAAAATCTAAAATCAGTGGACACTGAAAACAAATCCCCTGAAACTCATATTTCTGCTTTTGCTTATGCTCTAATGTTTTGAGCCACTGATTTCTATATCTTTCTATGTACGTTCTTTGTTTTTGTGTATGTTTGTATGTCCCAGCTAATATTTCGATTTAAGACTCTGCTGCTCATCTTGACCAGGAGGCCCTGTCAGAAGAGATGACGTATCTCAATGGGGCTTTCTTGGTCAAATAATGGATAAATAAAGTAAAACATATTTCTGCAAGGATGCCATTGTAACAGTATATTATGATCATTACATAAAGAATCTAAACATCCTTTAAACAATTAAACGATTGCACAAACACAAATATTGTGTAGGTTTGGAAATCACAATTTTTTTTGGTGAATCTAACGCATTGTGGTGAGGCCACTTTAAGCACTAACTATTTGCATTGATTTACTATCAATGCGTTTTCATCTCCACCTAAGAGCCAATTTATTATGAATGCACGCAGGCAAAGTGTCTATAAATATGTTTTACAACATGGTTAATTGCTCAGTGATGCTCTCTCTCTCCCCTCTCTATCTCACACACACACACTCTTTCTCTGTGCACGTTTGTGTGTGTGTGTTCCACTCTTGCTCCATCAGCAAGTGTGACTGCACTTCAGCATCACAGGTAATATTGTTGAAATAATATGTATTAGTTCATAAAAATGATGACGTGTGCAGTTCCTCCGAGGCTGGACTTATTTAAAGTTAGACTCAATAATTCCTGATTATTTCTGTGCCCCCACATTCTTTTAGTGCCCGATGATAAATGATCACCCAACTAAAACCAAATAATAAGCCAGCCGGAAGCAAGTGTACTTAAATAATAAGCATCCGAGCACCGAGTAACGAGGTTCTGTGTTCTGACTGCACATTAGGACACAAAGCTCTGCTACAAATGTCACAGAAATGGACATTTAAATAAAAAACTGTCAAACCCACACATCAGCAGCAATTAGAGTCTCAAATTCAGTTGCAAGCAATGTTGGTGTCTGAGTCTGCAAATTACCAGCTACATGTTTGTCTCCCACAAACACACACACAGGAAACCACTTTACAAATGATCAATTACTCTGCAGTTGAAGGTTTCCCGCTGAACTCACAGTCATGGTAAAGAAATCAACAGATAAAGGGCCCTTTCTATGCAACCGCACTCTCAATCATGAAAATGAATGCCTTCCCTTCTTCTCTCACATTACATAGAAGTTTAAAAATATTAGACGTTCAAATATGAGAACACGGACGCTGCCAAACAAAAGAACAAACTTCAGCTTCAGTAACAAACCAAGCTTGGAGCCCAGCAGCCAATATTTTGACGAATCGCAGGTTTCTCCAAACAAAACATAAACACGATCATTTTAGCCCCAGACGACATTTTGGCTAATCTCTTTTAACTAGTCACTTTTTAATCAAGATCTTAACATTCATCTGAATGTGGTGGGAAGTTCATATTCGACCCTTTAAAGACCTTTTTAAATTCAAGATATACAGTCTAGGAGCGCATCAGACCCAAGTGTTTTGTCTCCTGATCCAACAGGGGGTGATCACTATCAGTGCCAGTTATAGTTTTTGCTATGAAAATGGAGGATTCTGGCAGAGAAAGGCGTCCTGAGTGGACAATCATGACACCAGATCATAGCCTCCATGTTCTGCATATTCAGAGAGAAGAGTAACACACACTTACGGAGGTAGACCATCTTGTCAAATTAACAGGCGACCACGAATATGTAAGTGAACAGTGTGGGTCACTCATCGCCTAATACCATTAGTCACAATCACCTCACATCACTCAGCACAGAATATGTTAAAGAGTTTCCATAGAGCACAACAGTGAATGATTCACCACTGAGCCACGGACAGTTCTGGCATCTTTACTTTACTCTCACATGGTGGGTGAGTAGACCACCAGGCCCACATCTGTCTGGGTTTTGCTTTAAAAGGCGTATTTTGCCGCTAACTGGTTGCACACTAACTCTACAGTGAATTCCAACTGGACACGGACAATCACCAGACTCATATTTTTGGCTTTGTGATGAAGCTGGTGTTAGAGACGGCACCAACAGCTGTTTTTTCCTGCCCCCAAACATCGCTATGGCAACTGACTGGAGGACTCTTTAAGCACAGCGCTACTCAGAAGTAATTCACATTATTTATACGTTCATGTGAGGTCAGGATTTGTGCGCGGCCTTCCTCTCCTGGAAACAGTGTTTGTGTGCATGTGTCCTACCTCCAGTGATCTCGTTGGCATCTTCTGGGGGTGAAAGTGATTCAGTCAGCCTCTGCGGCTCAGTCCTGTCTCCCCCATCACTCTCACCTCTCTCAGCTGCAGTTGGTAAAATGGATCAATGTCATGTTAGCCACAAGCCTTAGATAATTTATTATGTAACAAGACACTTACATAAACATATAAATATAGATACTACAGTAGGTCAATCTAGAAAGGAAAATAGAGTAAAATATGGAGAGGAGAGATGGAAAGGATAGGAAAGGAAACCCATAATGAAATCCATAATGAGGAGTGGAAAAGAAGAAAGGTGAGGGAACATGAAAGAATGAAAGGGAACACAGAGAAAGGAGAGGAAAGACATGGATGTGAAGGAGGAAGTGTTAGTGAAGCATTCAGCGAAGAGGACACAAGGAGAAAGTGTTGTGCCAATTAACACTGAGGAGTAGAGTAGTTCACGGTGTGCTTTACTGTTGAATAGAAGAACAGTACAGTACAGAGCAAAGTGTAGGAGCAACACAATACAGAGAGGAAAAACAAACATGAACCAACCTTTGAATCTGCCCTGAAGGGGTCTGCTCTGCTCACTGCCGCTGACAGCGATCACACTCACACTGTAGTCTTTGGAGGGGCTGTAGTCTGTTATCAACACCTTACTGTTAGATTTAGACGCTATGATCTCCCTCTGCTGACCACCTGGTGGAGGAGGAAGAAGAGGAAGAGGAGGGTCAAGGGTCAGACTTGAGCCATGTTTTTCATATTCTTGTTGCTGGTTTCAGTTGCTTGGAAGCGAAATATGTGAAATTTCATGACAGAGCCACTAACAAGGTTAATTCAGCAGGAGACAGGCAGGAAAACGTTACAATCAAGGTCAAAACATTTTAGTCTTTGTTTGTGCATTCTTTTTATAGTTCTGTCTTTGTGTGGCATACACGGTGCAGCCTCCCAAACATTGAAAAAATTAATTCTGATGTATTTGACATTTTCTATTTTGAAATAACTAATCCTAATATTGTTGTATTGTTGTTTTTCCTTTGTCATATCATTTTTCAAATAATAAATGTGTTTTTGCAGTCTGTCTCTATCAATCATTTTCATTTGTTGTGAACTGCAACAGGAAACGAAAACATTAATTCATTAACACAATTAACTTTTCACATTTACAAACATCGATAAATAATATTGAATACAGGAGTCCAACTGATTTCATTTCATATTGTTGCCCTGGTCATCCTCTCAACTCAAGCTCCATTTACGCTCCTTCCTGAGCTTTCAAATCATATTCAGAAGTCTTCTGAAAACATCCTTTACAGAAGTAAAAGTATCAACACCACAAAACAAGTCAAGTATTCAAAAGATTACTAGAATAAAAGCACTAGAATAATTAATACCTTTTTTTTATTGTGTAATTTAGTGGTTGATTTATATTTTTGTCTGAATCACCCCGACTAACTGAAACTATTTGTGAGTGTGTGAGTGTGTGTGTGTGTGTGTGTATGTGTGTCTTTTCCTATGCAGTTAATCCCCATCAAGCCAACAAGTATCACCCCATTTTGATTCTGACCCTGCAATCAATCAGGACATCAATAATGTGTGTGTGTGTGTGTGTGTCGTCTGTCCCTGCAGGGTGATGACTAACACCACTTTTAGGAGGCAGGAGATAAATCCTACTGAAGGGACGGCAGGTCAGGTGGGGTAAGAGCATGAATCAGAACTAACACCACAAACTGGAACCTCAGTGTGTGCAGGTGAACTAAGCCACTGTCAGATACAACGACTGATATTCACTTTGTCAGAGTATGACATTAGACCTCTAACCAACAGTACAGTAGCATCGCTATAAATACCCCCACCATCCCCTGAGAAGCTCACTAGCTACCACAGTCTAATTCGGTTTATTCAAAAATGTTATGGTTACACCAAACTCCTTTTAAAGCACATTTCTGTTTGAGGTGACCAAATTTAACATTGTAGACGTAATTTTTTTTATATTTTATGAACTACTCCTTTAAAGTCTGATATATTTAATTTCCTGTTTCGAAGGACTGGAGCTCAAACAACATTACTGTTGATCACGATTGTTTCCATGATGAACAGCTCACATGCAGAATGACTCAGTTGTGGAAAACTCATTAAAATCGTCATTTTCCTCCATATTAAGTTTAATTAAGCAGATTTTTTGGACGATTACAGCAAACAACTGATCCTGTACTTGTTTTCCGAGCTGTTGTCAGAATCATTTTAACCAAGAGTAAATAATTAAAGGTTGGCAGGAATTTCATGGCTTCTCCTGCATCACAAGAATGCTTCATCACAGATGCAGGCCTGGAAGAACCATCAGACAGCACAGCCATGATATTCATCATTATAGTGGCCAACAACAGTTAAGGCGACAGCAAGAAATACTGCACAGAAATGCCACAAGTAGACAAATACTCATAATCTAAAACAAACATAAACACAGTGTGACTTAAATTACATTCTCACTTACAGAATGATAATAATCCTTCCCAGTGTCGGCCTTGTGTCCTCCCTGGGCCACCACATGTTATTTTCAGTTACACTCCTCAGTCTATTCATGTTTACCATCACTATTTTCAGAGTCAAACTAATGATATGACATTAGCTTTGCCGTTATGATTCACAGAACATCCTTCTAGTGATTAAGAACCTGCCTCAACCTTAATATTACATCTGTTACAGGCAGCATTTGCAGTCAGGATTGACCCTTACAACACCTGTCACCTAATGCTGCTGCTTTTTCATGAGGTGGGTCTGTTAGTCTGACGTACATTTTCCAAAACAGCTAGTTGTTCCGTATTCTTGAAGTTTTCCTCCTCTCTTCTTTGGGGAAAAACTTCCACAGTGCAACTCGTTTGTTTTTGAGTGAGGAAGATCGTTTAAGAATTACAGCTTCTGCTATTGCAGTTCTCATCAGTTGAATAGGGCAAAGTAAAATGTGTTCGCACAAAGTTAAATACGTGATATGGAAAAAATCTGTTTTCTGTTTTTATGAAATATGATCAAACAAACTTTTGCACAACCACAATGTGCTTCAACTGCCTCATGTAACCCCCCCCCCCCAACATGCTGTACAACTTCTGCTGTAAGTTCTACTGTCTTTTTTTTCATGCAATCATGAGGTTGCAGTAACATGGTAACAATAAGTTGCCATTGCATAGAGTAAAAAATCTCATGTCCACTGAGATTTAAAAGAGTAAATTTAGACATCTGGTCCATAACTAACCCACAAATATGCACGTACACTCAGTGCTGGATTTCAGTTCAGAACTGTTGCCAGGCTATTGCACATCAATCCATCAAGTACTTATTTTATTTTAATGCATGCACTGTCATAAACTGGACACAAGAACACAGGCAAAAGTTAAACAATTTTTGCTGCCATAAAACATGAGTTACTTTGTGTACGAGCTGATAATGAGGAAGAAATTGACACAGGGCGACAAAAAACCCCATATAACTGTGAGTCATATTCTGCTTTAACCTAAAAGCTGAATCCTTACTCAGCTGCACTTAAGCTGCTCCCTTTTTTTATAAAACCTCTGAGGAGAAAAAGAACATTATGTTGAACCAAAAGGTTAGCTGCCACTCTGACAGCACCTTTTGTCATCTAAAACAAGCTTTACTGTGCCTGTCGCTCACTTCATCCGACTCAGCGGTCAGACCTGACTAAACGGCAGGTCACAGGGCATGTATTTGTGTCCTAGTAAGGATGCAGTGAATTTCTTTTGCTGCATTTGCTGAGCACCATGCAGCAAACTACTGCTGCACCCCCTCACCGAGAGGAAGTGGCCGTAAATTTGAGTTTTTGTTCTCTTTTCAATCGTCAGAGGCACCAAGAAATTCTCAGGCCAGGCGGTTGTCGCAAAGGGTTGTTTGCAAACAATGAGTTTTATGTTACTGAAAGCTTACTCAGTCCCACTTATTCATTTTTACAGCGCCTGCAAAAGAATTGTCTGCAGCACAGCACAGCACTAATCTCAAACAAATGCAGGCAGCGGTGCAGCAGTACAAAATTATGTAAGGAGAGATGCATGACTGTGAAACTAGGTGTGCTGTGATAACATGATGAAGGAGATGTCAGCGGTGATTAGGGTGATTACTGACTACACGGAGAGGCAGGGTCATGCCCCTTGTCTGTCCAATGATCCGCTCCTGACAGATGCAGGATATAAGCAGGACGTCAGGCGTCTGTCATGGCTACAACGCCGTACAGTAATAATTGTTTGATTCTGAATGAATGACTAATGTTGCTGCTCCTCTCCCGGTTTGAACTCTATCACGAGTCAGTGTGTAGCTCCCACTGTTCCTGTCAGACCCATTTTCAGATCTGCTGACAGGCTCCAGGTGCACAGCAAAAACACTCCTTTGTCTCAAACTTGGCAGAGGTACAGGACAAACTTTGAGTCGTCCGTATCTCTCGAGAGTGAAATCCCTTCACAGGAGCTTTGATAAGAAGTAAATTATATAATCCCTCCTGACAGACAGAAAACCCAAGTCATAATGAGATCCTTCCCCCAAAAAAGTCAACTCACTCTTCTTTTCAACATGTGTGTGGTCTGTGTGTGTGTGTATCCGTGCAGCAAAGTCATCCTACCTGGTATACTGCTGTAGAGGAACAGATAGCTGTCAAAGTCTCCTTTGGGCTCCCTCCATGAAACAAGGAGTTTGCTTGAGCTCAGCACTTTGAAACGCAGCCTCCTCGGGGCTGGAACTGAAAAACACACAAACACATTTTTAAATCAGCTTCAAGATGATTGGAAATAAATGACAAACTGATAGGAGGAGCTGGTTTTAATTGAAAATGTCCCGTCCACCAATAAACACACGTTTTTTATGTGAAACCAAGACACACAGAGAACCAAAATCTCAACGTGACTCTAAAACAGAATGAATTAAGACACGGACAGAAAGACTGAGAGAGAGATGAGTGAATTTCAATATTGAAGCTCCGACCATGAGAGCGACACATAGAGCACGTCAGTTTGGCACGATGCTCATGTTCAATCAGCTTCAGATCAAAACAGCATGAAACATAAAACATTTCGATTAAAATATTTCCAGTCAAATTCTCTTCATAAAAGAAAGAAAGTTCATACGAGGATGATTCGAATTTCTGTCATAAACAGTAAAGAGCAGTTTGGTGGATATTTTTGAATTTTGAATTTCTATTAATTTATAAATAAATAATTAATTAAACATACTTTGCTGTAAAAACAGGTTGAAATGTCATGATTGACAGCTGAGACTGACATGTATGTATCAGTGGGACCTTGATAGGTGCTGCTGCACAGACTCTGGCTTCAAATGTGCAAGAAGGCAGCGTTCGTGTCGAGGATATTTTAGCTTCATTTCTGGTTAATGGGATGACGGGGAGATGCGTCATCCATCTTTATACACAGTCTACGGGATAAATAAATGTTGTACAGTTGTGTCCTCGGGAGGCTTGATGTACTTTCAAGCCGTCTGTCAGAGAAAACAGAGAAATGCCACTCTCTGTGTGTTTGTGCATGCAGTGTTCGGCTTCTTACACACGCAAGAAGAGAATTTGACTCAGTTTTTAATCGACAGACAAAAAGACAGACAAGTAAAGAAAAGAATGGACAGCGACAACACAGAAAGAGAGAGAGACCATGATGCAGTATTTTAAAAAACTACACATTCACCTCGGATGAGAAGAACAGTCACCGGCATAAACTTTATGTCTGTGACACATATCACCATTTCACCGTTCTACTATATTGTTAGTTTTATGCAACGATCCACTAATTTATATTATTTTACTACAAAGTTTCTATAAGTGAGCGGACACCATTGTGTCATCCATAATGATGACACTGGTGACACTGCCAGTGTCGAGCTTCTTTACCTGTCAGCACTCAATTATAAAATGTCCAAATAAACATGGTCAGTAGAGATTTGATTTTGGAGTCATGAAGTAGATGCAGCCTCAAAAGATTTTGAGACTGGTGCATTATTTTATTTTTTCCTACTTTGCAGTAGATAATAATCTGAAT